AACTGGAGGGGCTCCAGCAGTGCGACGCCAGCCCCGGCCAGGGGGCACCGCCGTCCCGGCAGACCCCCGGGGCTCCCCGGGCGGACGAGCCCTGTCTGACGGCCGAGCAGTCGGAGACGCTGCGCCAGGTGCAGGACCTGCTGCAGCTGGTGGCCGCAGCCAAGGGGCAAGTGGGTTTGTCCAAGGGGGACGAGCACTTCCTAACATCTCAGGGACGCGTGGGCGTCGGGGCCCGGGCGCTGGGGCCCGGGGACATGGGGGATCTGCGGTCGCAGTTGCAGTCCCTGGAAGGGGTCCTGGAGACCAGCCAACAAACCATCAAGGTGCTGCTGGACGTCATCCAGGACCTGGAGAAGAAGGAGGCCCAGCGCGACGGGTGAGCAGACGGGCAGCGCGGTGGCCGGGTGGGGGGTGCTGGCACGGCCCCGGTGATGGGGATGGGGACACCGGCCGGGGTCAGACGTCCTTCCAGCAAGACCCCGTCCCCCTTGAAACAGCCCCAGCCCCAGACACGACCGCCCCGAGGCTGCCCATCGCCCCAGACCCTGCTTTCCATGCACTTGCCCGAGCCCCGAGCCCTGACCCCGTGCCAGCCTGCGGGAAGCTGCCCGACTCAGACCCGGGCTGCAGCTGTCTTGCTGCCCATGTCGCAGCCGAGCATCCGCTATCCCGGCGCACGAGGAGAAACGGGGGCCAGGACCCTCCTTCCCAAGCCCGCAGCACCGAAGTGACAGCTGATGGGGAGAGGGAGAGAAGAGCTGCCCCGGGGAAGGACTGCCACGCGGGCCCCAATCCGGGCCCTAGACCTGCTGATCAGCCCTGGCGGGAGCAGGGAGTTTGGCCCCTTGCGGGTCCCAGCCCCGTCCGGCTCGTCCGTGTCCGGACGTCTCCAGCAGCTCCTGCCGGGAGCAGCACGGGGTGTCCCAGCCCGTCCCCCAGCACAGGGCCAAGGTCAAGGCCGAGGCCAGGCCAGGACGGCTGCGCGGCCGTGGGACGAGCTCGCGGCCCCGGGGAGGGGACGACGCAGGCAGTCCCACCCTGCCCAGGGAGCTCCCCTTCCCCTCTGCTGCATGAAGTTGGAGGCAGGATTCTGATGATTCAAGCAAATGATTCCACGAGCTTAATCTGCATATATGCTAATAGATGCAGGCAGACCTTCACTTGGGGGCTACGCCTTGTAAGTCATGCCGTGGGGGTGGCTGTGCAGAGGTCAGACGGGTTTGTCTGGGCTGCTTTCGACGGGCTGATCCTGCCTCAGGCAGGGCTTGGACTGGATGCGACCTCCGTGGGTCCCCGCCAGCCCCCCGGCTCCGGGGCTGTCACAGATGCGTGTAGCTGACAAGACACTTGGGTTTTTTAAAGGCCTCTGCCAAGGCGGTTGCAGGGAGGAGCTCGTTGTGGGCTGAGAGGTAAAGTTGGTCCTGCAGCAGTCACTGGCCAAGAGCATTGCAGGGAAGCAAAGAGCATCACGGGGCAGGAAGACAGAAGGGTTACGAGCAAGGGAGCGACGAGCTTCTGTCCTGGGACCTCTGCGCTTCTTCCCTGGCAGAGCAGGGCGGCCGTGGGAGAGATGCCAGGGGTGTCCCCTCCACCTTCTCCCCTTCCTGCTCCATGTGTCAGGGGGTTTAAGCCCCCCCCAGATGCGCTGGTGCTGCTGCAGCCCAGGCTGGGGCTGGGTCTGGGGCTGGGCTGTGCCAATGCTCCTGCTGCACCGACCCCGCAGGGTCCTGGTGGAGGGTCTTGCCCCCACGCTCAGGCTCAGCCTCACGCTGCACTGGTGCAGGAAGGGATTTCCCCCCCCGCTCAGACTGGTCTGGACTGGGGGGTTTCCCCTTCCTCTGCAGGGGGGCACGGCCCGGGCCTGGGCTCTCTGCAATGTCCATGACCCCCGGGCAGCAGTGGGACACTGGTAGCCGCGGCCCCCCTGCTTTCCCGGGGGCAGGGGTGATGCCTGGGGATGTGTCAGGGCAACTGTGCCGTGTGGCTCAGGGGTTGGACATGGGGTTTGTCTGGGCTGGTTTGGACAGGGCTGATCCTGCCTCAGGCAGGGCTGGGGGTGGATGTGACCCCAGCCCCACAGGTCCCTGCCAGCCCCGCAGCTCTGGGGCTCGGGGGTTTAATGTGTCTAGTGGCAATCCTGGAGGGACGGAGACATGCTTGCAGAGGCTGTTGAGATGAGTCGAGCGTGTAGACGTGCGAGGAGCTCCATGGGGACGTGTCCCAGCGAGGGCACGTCACTGGATCCCGTCCTGCTGACCAAGGGACCAAACAAGGCCGACGCAGGGGAGAATTGTGAACCCCTCGAGCGCCGTGCTGCATCTGACGGCACCGTGTCTGCTCGGAAAGGCACCTGCTTGCACTGTCTGCAGCTCAGTTAGGACCTCGCTTCAGCAAACAGCTCGGGTTGCATAAGCAAGCAAGAGATGGGACAGGACAGCAAAGAGTAGGGAAACTATTGTGCGGTTGTTATATAAGTGCCTGGCGGGGCTTCCGCTGCGCAGCTCTGCTTGCGCTGGCAGATCACACGGGAGGAAGGCTGGGGGAGTCTGCAGCACACGCCAGACGAGACAAAGGAACAGCAAACGCAGCGCCTCAAACCTGCATCCGTGATGTGCAGGGAAAACCTACGCCGTCCCGGGGGAGTTGGATCCGGGCCCTGCTGCCCTTAGCAAAACGGATCTGGAGTCTCTGCACGTTGCAGGTGGAAAGAGGCTAGCCCGGGGGACTGCTCCAGGCGATTCGAGGCGAGACCTCGACCTGGGACGCAGACTAAGCGATCGTGACCCGATGGCATTTCTGTGCAAACAGAACAGCTCTGTCGCTGCTCAAACGGGCTCAGTTTCCCATAGCTGAATGCAGTCGTGAGCACAATTGACTTGACAGGACAGGGCACTGACTTTTATTTTTGCCAGCGGGGGCTGAGATGATGGACATGTAGGTGTTCGACGCGTTGTGGGTGACAGCCCTCTTCCCGCGGGGAGCTAGGGCTGTCAGGCTTCCATGTACTCGCACCTCTGAGACAGGAAACCATTAAACAAAAACATGGGAACAGCATTTGGGAACCAGGAATGATCTGTTAGGTGCCCACAAAAACCAAAACTCCCCAATTCTGCAATTGCCGAAGGAGGCTTCTGACATCTGGGTCAAAGGAGGATGTGAAACAACACATAGAAAGAGGAAAAACAGGGAAGTTGACAGTGAAAACTGGTGGTTAGGAGATGCAGGGAATTGATATGGGAAGCTGACAGCATACATGAGCAGGGTTAAGGTGATAGGCATGAATTCTTTAACTGTCTCGAGAACAAAGCAAATCCTGACCGTGTTTCAGGTCCGAGACAAGATAAAGGAAATAAAACCGCGATGCAGAAAAAGCAGAAGTGTTTCTCCTGTGGGAAAGAGGCAAGATGAAGTTTCCATGTCTTGCAGTGAGAGAGATGTTTCCTCTCCCATCAGAGCAAGGCAGGTCTCGCACTCATTGCTAAACGCTGCTTACACGCTCCGGATCGGGCAGCCTGTGCCCAGGGAGTTAAATAGCTGGGCCTAAAATAGCCCAAAAGGCTGAGCCTAAAACATCATTGTAAACAAGGACGTGTCGGCACAGGGGTATCTTACCACGGTCCGGCAGGGGCCTGGTCTTGGCTCTGCGCTATTCAGTGTCTTTACCAATGACCTGGAGCACAATATAAAACCCTCTCTGGTGAACACGCGGCGGGCAGGGACAGTGATGACGGGCACGGGGCGGCCCAGGTCTGCAGCCTGACCGGAGCGCCTGGGAGCACGGGCACGTCTCGTGATAGGAGCTTGAGAGACCGCGGGGGCACGTGGCACAGGGCGCGTGGCAGGGCCGGCCCTGCTCCCTGCAGCGCCCTGCGACTCCCTGTCCTGGATGTGCCGCACGTGCGAGGAGTGCTTGGGGGCTGTGTCGAGCAGGCAGCTGCGCCCGCGGAGGAGGGTTGTGCACGGAGCAGCAGGGAGCTGATACTGCCTCTGCGCGGCAGCCGCGAGGCCCTTTCTGGGCCCAGGTCCCTCCTGGTGACCCCGCTGCAGCCGGATGCTGAGCACGGGGAAGTGCCCAGAGCAGGGCTGTAGCAATGTGCTGGGGGCGCAGAAATCTTGAGAGGCTTAAGATGCTCGATCGCTCAGGTCCTGAAGTGAAGGCGAGGAGGTGGCCACCAGCAGCAGCTGCTACATGGGGAGAAGGGGTTTGGTACCCCAGGGATGGCAGCGAGAGCTGCATTAGCGGGGATGGGGGCTGGATAAGGTAAGACGCAGACTTCAAGCCGGGACGGCAGCTAGGAACGGGACCGGCTGACTCCAAAGGAAGAAGCCTGGGTTCATTCGGGAGGAGACGGGCCCGTCCCCAACACCAGACGCCCTGCAGCCAGGCCAGCCCCAGCCCCCCCAATCCCAGAAGGGGACAGCCCAGGCCCCTCACTGCTGCCCCCAAGCACGTGGCTGCCCCAGGAGCCAGGGGAGCCGGGGTGGGGGCCTGCTTCCCTGCCCCGTGCGATGAGCTAGGGGTGTTTGTGGGGCCGCCGGGTGCTGGAAGGCGCACAGCTGGTGGGAACGCGCCCGGTGCAGACAGCACCCCGCCAACCCCGCCTGTGCCAGAGCCACGGCCATCCCTGGCGCTGGGGCTGGATGAGGGTGGCCGAGCTCTTGCACCTGGGCCGGCCCCGCAGACAGGAGTGGGCTGGGCAGGTCCCGCTCCCAGCCGCTGCCTCTCTCTGTGCACGCGTCCGGACCCTGCTACGGGCTCCCTTTTCCTCTGTGCCGTGGGAAAGGTGGCCCGGTCCCTGCGAGACGGCCGAGGGGCAGCTCATGCCCTGATGCCGGTGCCGTGGTCGTGGTCATGGTCGTGGGAACCCGCACACAGCACTGGGCGGCTTCTGCTCCTGCCTCCTGGGCCGCAGCCCCAGGGGCGCGCATAGCCGGCTCTGCATAGTCCCAGCCCCGCCTGGCCAGGCGCTGAAAACATCCTGTCCCCGGGGCAGGGCAAGCAGCCCGCCCCAGCCCCGGGAGGTGGCACCCCCAGGGGCTTCCCGTGCACCCACCCCTGCCCTGGTGACACGTGGGTCAGCGCCCAGGCAGGTGGAGGCAAAGACCTAGGGATGCTGGGCGGGTAGTGGCTGCCGCGGCTCTATCTCATGGGCTTTCTGCTCTGCTGCAGGCGACGCTCCTACCGGACGGGGCAGGACATCGCCAACTGCGGGACCTGCCGAGACTGCGCCTGCATCATCTACAGGTAGGTGCTGCCGCCTCCACCATGCGCCTCGTCTGGGGCTGGGCTTTTGTACCCGTGTCTGTGCTGCGGGGTCCCAAATAGATCAGCGGCCCTGGGCAGGTGCATCGGCCCTCTGACCTGGCAGGCTTTTTGCACGGGGTCTGGGCTGTCTGGGCCCCCCATGCAGGGGACTGAACATGTGGGGGCCCCTGACTGCCCCCGGCACCTCCGGGGTAGCAGGGTCTCCGGCCTTTCCAGTGGCCCTACTCTGAGCCCCTATGGCCTCTTGCACTCGGTGCACGCGTACGCAGACCCCCCCGCACCCAACGTGCACACACTTACTGCTGAGAGCCAGTCCCCCAGAGCGGCCCAGGCGGGTCCCTGGCACACGGCCGGGTGTCTGCATGAAGACCAGCTCCAGCCGTGACCGCGCATTGCAGCGCTGCTCTCGGCTGCCCCCCAAGCCACTCGTGTGCGGGCAGAGCCTGGGGCTGGCCAGCCATCTCTATCGCGCACCGGGCTAGTGGCTTGCCTGCAGCTGGCCACAGAGACGTGGCCTGCGTCTGTTCGTGCCTCGCGTCCTGCAGCTGGGGCTGAGTCCCTGCAGGCCAGCACGAGCCCCAGGGGTTTCAGCCAGCCCAGCACATAAAGGCCTCTTGTGCCCTGGGCATCAGGCGCCAGGGCTGGGCAGGGGCTCAAGGGAGCTGGCGCTGTTCGGGCGTCTGCAGCTGCTGGAAGGCCGCCCCATCCCGCAGGCCAGGCAGGCTGGCTCTGCTCCCCGAGAGCACGGGTTCATCGATGCTCGGGTCGGAGGGGACCTCAGCAGATCATCGAGTCCGACCCCCGCCTGGGCAGGAAAGAGCGCCGGGGTCAGACGACCCCAGACAGATACCTATCCAGCCTCCTCCTGAAGACCCCCAGGGCAGGGGAGAGCACTCCCTCCCTTGGGAGCCCGTGCCAGATTTTGGCCACCCCTACCATGAAGAAGTTTTTCCTGATATCCAGCCTAAATCTGCTCTCTGTCAGTTTGTGACCATTGCTCCTTGTTACCCCAAGAGGCGCCTGGTGAACAGAGCATCTCCGATCCCTTGCTGCGTCCCCCTGACAAGCCACAAAATCCCCTCTCGGCCTTCTCCTGCGGAGGCTGAAGAGGTCCAGGTCCCTCCGTCTCTCCTCATCGGGCTTGTCCTGTAAGCCCCTGACCATATGAGCGGCCTCTTGACCCTCTCGAGTCTATCCACATCCTTCTTGAAGTGCGACACCCAGAACTGGATGCAGCCTCCACCTGCGGTCTGACCAGTGCCGCATAGAGGGGAAGTATCGCTTCCTTGGATCTATTCGTCGTGAATCTGCTGATAAATGACAAAGTGCGGTTAGCTTCGCTGGGATTTCATCACACTGATGACTCACGTTCATCCTGGAGTCCGCTACGAGGGAGAGGGATGGGCTGTCAGTGCAGTGCAGGGGAGGGAGATCCCCTGCCCTCCGTCAGTGCTGACCTCCTGAAAGAACACCTTGAGAGGCTGGACACCTTCAAGTCAGCTGGCCCTGATGGTTTACACCCCAGGGTACTCAAGGAGCTGGCGAGCATCATAGCCCAGCCCCTGGCACGGGTCTTCGAGAGCTCCTGGCGCTCTGGCGTAGTGCCTGGAGACTGGAAGAAGGCCAATGTGGTGCCTATCTTCAAGAAAGGGAGGAAAGTGGATCCGGCAAACTACAGCCCCATCACCCTGACCTCTATCCCGGGGAAGGTCTTGGAAAAGTTTATCAAAGAGTCCATCCTTAATGGAGTGGCCGATGGCAACATCCTGAGGGATAGCCAGCACGGGTTTGTTGCGGGTAGGTCTTGCTTGACCAATCTCATTTCCTTCTACGACCAGGTGACCTATCACCTGGAAAAGGGAGAAGAGATTGATGTCATATATCTTGACTTCAAAAAAGCCTTCGATCTGGTGTCCCATGATCGCCTCTTGGAGAAACTGGCCAATTGTCGCCTTGGGTCCTCCACGATCCGCTGGCTGGAAAATTGGCTCCGGGGTCGGACCCAGAGGGTAGTAATCGATGGAAGTCACTCATCGT